TTGAATAGTTGACTATGCTTCTTCAGGAGAACACCCTTTGTTCTCCTGAAGAAGCATAGTCAACTATTCAAAAGTGCTCGAGTTTTGGGTCTTATTTTAAGTCTATTACACTTTATATGTGATCCTTTGTGCTAACTCTTTTATCAAAAAAGATCCTCAATATTCAGTTCATGATGTCAAACCTTCCTCTAGTCAATTTTAATACAAAAATCTAAGTTGAAAAACATGGCCTACAACAATATAATGAAGGGTAAATAATACTAAAAATATTCACAGTTTTAATATGACGTTCATATAGAAAATTAAATTAAAATTAATAAATTGCTTATGGCACTTAATCTATGGACTTTCAAGAAAATTGAATTCACTGCAAGTTTGAGAGGTACAAAAGTATATAAAAAACATTACTATTAAACTACTAACATTCAGGATTCCCGTTGATTCTTATATTTCCTGTGATCCCCCATATTTTGGCCTAGATTCTTATAAATTTGAAAATTGCCTGAAATTCCAATATTTTTACCCTTTTTTTTCCTATATTTGGAAGATTTTTCTTATCAAATTACAAGATTTGTGCCATGAAGAATGCTTCTATGAATGGCAAAATTGTATGCATCTCAAATATGACAGAAGATAGTATATCAATAGTTCAAGATCAGGTCCGTTATATAGCAAACACTGCATACAAGTGATCAAAACAGGTGTACAGGTAGCATGCAGAACAGAATGCATGTTGACTTGATAGTGGGTAACATCAATATTATATATATATAAACAATATGCATTATTGCATAACTTGGTTGTTTATATCTATAAAAATCATGATAGTCTATGTATATCATGAAATGCTGATTCATTAAAATGTATAGATCAGTCGAAGTTTTGAAATAAAACTACTATTTAGTCTACTTTTGCTTTTAGCAAATATTGCATAACAATATTTTGTAACAGCAAAAGTAGAATGTTAGATTAGCTGGTTTGGCTTCAACTGACTATGATCCATTCATGACATTTTCTGACCTTAGTACGCTGTGTTTGTGGATTTGGCTGTCTTTATGTTTTTACTTTTGTGAAGCAGGTATGTAAATTAAATATTTTATCAAGATTTATACTGGCTCACACTAAGACACAAAACTAGATGAATATTTTATTCATAAAACCATGTATGACACCTGTTCAGATACAAAGACAGATGTAGATGATGTGGGTTTTGTTTTTTAGCCCCGACTGACTTTTGTAAATGAAACAACCCAATCCTTAACTGGTTATTTGCACATCCATACGATTTCATACAATTTCTAAAGAGATTCCATCATTCATGTTGGATATACAAGACTGTTCAATTGAAGAGTTATTATTTAGTTTATTTTGTGATTTAATACTTATATAGTTTTCATAACAAGAGTATTAAAAGTTAATTATTTCAAAAGCGATAGTTGTGACAAGTTTGTTTCATAACTCTGTAGGAGTCTTACGTGGCGGGCAGAGCACAGATAGCCCATTGTGTAGCTTTGTGCATAATTACAAATAAACAAACAAGCATGCAGTAGTCATTACAATATTCGCAAATTAGAACTTATTTCTACAGCCACTACATATATTTAACAAACTAGTTTTCTACAGTGATGAGAAAATTTATTCAACTCATGAACTGTTTCAGGAACATATTTATCAAATCAAATATAATGATGATTTGGCTGTAGAAGTTTCTTTTTTTTTTATGGAACATATTCCATATGATGGAATATTCAGTATGGGATATGTGAATATTAATCTCACTTTTCATTTTCAGATAGTTTATTGAACTCCATTTGCTTCATAGGTAATAGTAAATTAGTAGACCAAAATGACAGGTGGGACAACAACTTTCAAAATCCAGTGGATGGAAGCATTAAATGCTAACAAAAGTAAAACCGGAGATTGGTGCAAGCCTGGCAAGGACCAGTATACAGCACTGTAGTCTCTGTTGCTTCCAGTTTAGTGTGGATAATGTCGGAAAGGCCTCCTTACTTCAGCGTGAAAATACTAAAGGCCATAAAAGCAAAATTAATAGTAAGCAGATAAAACTTATGTTTACTGTTAAACAACATACATCTACTGTCGACCTGGGAGAATGTTTCTAATGTACAACAGCAACTAAAGCAACAGTCACTCTAGAAACTGCAAGTAAACCTGAACAAACAAGAACAATCAAGCAACTGTTATTATCATACAACAAAAACGATGTAGTTAGAGCTATAATGGTATGGGCTGCTAAAGTTGCCAAGGTGAACTTTGCTTTCAGATCATGTGATGCACTAAGTTCAACATTTCAGCCCATCTTCCCATATAATTCTGTAACTAAAGATTATAATCTAAGAGGTGTTGCAAAATAAATGTGTCTCTCGCATTTAGGCAGAGTTTCCAACATTTCTTCTGTGCATTGTTGAATGAAAGCTCTGATATTTTCAGTGGGATTTAAATCTAGATAGTCCCCAATCCACATTCCACCACTTTTTCACGAACCACTCTTTCAATTCAACAATTCTGAAA